GCAGCCGGCGGTAATTCTCATCAGTGTATCTGACCGCGAACATGCAGTACGGGGAACAGTGACTGCTCAGATCAAGTTGTCCTTCCTCCATCTCTGAACAACAGCGTTTCACACCTGGAGAGGAAGAGAAGTTGCTGCTGTGACATGGTGTTTGTGTCAGATGGTGATTATCTGTCCACAGCAGCCCAAAGAGGGGGACTTATCTCCAAAAGAAAATTCATGTGATTTAAATGCACAAATAATGCAGGTTATGTAGCTCCACAACTAGCTAAGATAAGGTCGTGTGCCTGAAGCATTGAGGGCAGAAGAGAGAAGTGACAGGCAGCATTGTAATGGTCATCTGCAACTCACTGATAAACATCTGTCTCATTAAAGCCAAGGATCAGTCAAGGTGATCAGCATGACGGGGCACCCCAATAGCCACTGCAAGAGCACTGCAGGTCTTAAAGTGAACAGTTGGGACCTCTACAGACTGCAGGGGTGGACAGTTGCTAGTAACAGGACAGAACTTAAATGAGAAATGAGTAGTAGAAACATACATAAACTTTATAGTTCCTGCAATCCCTAATACGTTCGCAGAGACCCACCAAGGGTCTCTGTGACCAGGACCCATCTCTGCTTTTCCATTTCTTGTGTCTCCCAAATTTCACAAAAGCAGAATTTTGGAATTTACCTGACCGCTATCAAGGAACAAAGCAAATGCATCCTAGTAGCTGTCAGTAAAGGAGAGGAATACAAAGCAAGTGGCCTGGCAAAAAAAGAATTTGCTCTGAGCACAGCACAGTGAGCAAAATGACCCTCAAGTGCTATACTGAGAGGAGACACACAGATCTTGACACTGCAGGAGTTCTGCCTGAAAGCCAGGTTCTTGCTGCCCTACCACTCATACATAATGCTATGCCAGCTAAAGTGTACAATTAAATCCCTGGACAACAGATAATGTATGTAGGAATAAATAATCTGTGTGAGCTGTACTTTTCCAAGAAAAAAAACCCTTACAATTTGCTAGCAAAACTTAACGTAACAAAGAGGAGAGAGATGAAGGTGAACACCACCCAGAAGACAACAGCTAAGTCTATCCTCTTAAGGTCACAAAGATTACATTAATTAACACACTAACCTTGGCAAGGATAGGGAAAACCATGTTTAATTAGCTAAAATGCTCCCGCACAAACTCAGTCAGCAAAGACAGCCAGCAGCAGGGAAAAAGGCTCGATCTCAGTTGGGGAATCTGGTAGTGGTGTCTTTTGATCAATGCTTTGCCACTACTTGTAACTCACCTGGTGCTTTGTACTCTTGGAAAGTATCATTCACAAGGGGAAGGAAAATCACAATTGGACATCCTGGTAAATCTGGATCTTGGAAGAGGTAGCACTCCTTCAGATTTTTCTTATCCTCTTCAGACAAAGAAACTCTGGGGAATGGGATTTGCTGCTCTGAGTAGTATTTGCATGCCTTCTCTAGAGTCTGGAGTATCACAAAAATGGTCAGAATTGGAATTCAACTTTGTTGTCATAAAGCCCCCCAAACTGTCATCTTGTATATTAAGGTTTAGTGACTCAGATCCACAGGGTGTGTTTCTTCTTATCAAGGTTTACTGTACACATAATTACCACACATAATAACCAGAATACTAATCACAAGCTATAAACACAATCTCAGGGTTAGAGAATTCATGAAGGATGCTGCATTTAAAAAAATTAAACCAATTTGCAGAAATTCAGGGTAAAGCATCTAGTTTTAGTAAATTAAATAGCCTGTATTTAATATCTTGTATAGAATTAATTAGGAAAGAAAATCACAGCAAGAAAATATTTAAGGGATCTTATTATGTGCTTGGCCAGGAGCTAAGAAAGTTAAGTTTGAATTTGCAATTATGTCTGTCTGTGCAGTCATTATGTCACAGTGTTAATTGAGATCAATATTTTACTGAGAAAGCCTGAAGTACTAGGTTATGCTTATTCCCTGCAATGTTTAGTACAGTATCATGTCTTAATATGTACTGTGTTGTTTAGTCTGTGTCATCTAATAGTGGACACTATCAAATGGGGAACAGTTTCCACTAAAGTGCTTAAAACTGCAGCAGCCTTTTTTTGTAAAATTAATCTAGATAATGTGTGAGGCTGAAATCAAGCTTCATTATGTGGATGTCTCATGCATCACGTGGCCTATTGACAGTAGCACAGCTGTTCTCATTTTCAAAAATTAATACCACTTAAGCAGGCCAAGATAATGAGTTTCTACCTAACCTCAGTCTCTGAGATAAAGATGCAAACTTTTTTTCTGCAAGGCCTTACAGACAGCTAATTAACTTCATCTCCATGAAACTAGAGTTTCTGCAGGAAACTCTAGTAGCACATTATTTGTCAGTTTGGAGATGATCTGCCCCTGACTATCCACTTAACCACTTTTGCATTCTAACCTAAGTCACGAGAAATCACTTCCTTATCTTCATGCCTACTCCTGCACAGGGTCTGGAAGCCTGCTTGTTTCAGCACAAAGCAGAACAGGCTTTTCCCATCATTCTGGGAGAGATGGGGCTGATGTCCTCTTGAATAACTCAACAAGTTAATAAACCAGCAAGTGAGATTCCAGGAGTGGCAGGAAGAAAGAGTACCAAGTTGAATCGCTACAGTGAAAAACATAGGGGAATGCAGTAGCTTAAAACTGAACAGCTGGAATACTCTCAGTTCTAAGTGCTACAGGCTAGATATTTACAAGCAAAAAGAGACAACACATGGAACAAGATTCTCCTCACCGATGTATGTGATCCAGTAGTATAACTTAAATATATGATGACATCCACTTCTCTCTGTGGCCTCAAAAGTGGTGGACTGCTAGTATTGATGAAAAATCCAGCATCTATCATGCCCAGGTGATCAGGATTTTGCATCAGCTGGTTGGGACGTGAGTCTAACACAGTGTCTAAAAGGAAAATATTTCTTGGAATAAGAAATGATCTGTAGGTATTTTGACTGCAAAAAAAAAGGAAACGCAAGGTGGAACTGGCCATCCCAGAGGCTTGGCTTAATTTAATTGCCATACTACCAGATCATCAAATAGGCATGGGAGGGACTGCAAAATTCCACCTAAGATATTCTTCTGAAAAACCTTCTATGTTGATATTTCAAGCAATCTATTCCAGCAAATTGTCATTAATACCAGTAAACTACTTCTAATGCTTAACCTAAATCTCTCTTGCCCCATTTCAATTATTGTCTCATCTTCTATCCTCATCCCTTTTAACATTTGGATTTATGCCTCAGTCCTGTCTTCTTTGAACTATGAAGTCCGATTCTTTTCTGGCTTTCTCTCGTAGGTTATTTTTTTCTGGGATATTCCAGTTGCATCTGAAGTTAGAGGCAGGCACAGTCCTGCCAAATTCAGCTTTCTCCCATGTTCACCTTGCTCTTCACTACTTTAATTTCAGTTCCATCAGCTGCAAGTCTATCCTCTCAGTCTGGACTGCAGAGATCTCAGCTAAAGCACATGAAGCTTATATTTAAGCTTATATTGAATCTTATAAAGTTTATATTTAAAAATAGTCTTACATACCTGGCAACACTGAAGCCTTAGTCTTTTCTCACCTTTCATAAAAATAATGTTCTTTGGGAGATTTTTTTTTTCCCTGCCAGGCCTGATAGAGTTCTTTCCTAAATTCCCTACTCCAAAACTACCTGAAAATGGTGCCTGTGAAATATTAGTTCCCCGTTACCTTTCCATTTACAGAAGTGCTCGTTCTCCAGGTAATTGTTATGCAGCTGGTAGCCCTTCATGAAATTGTGGTGCTGGGCAACAGAGAAGCGGTCGGTCAACGCTCCCCGAAGGGCACTGGACAAGGGGCCAGGAGGAGTGTACATGCGAGTCCTCAGCTCATGGGGTCTTGTAGGCAGCACTGGGTCTTCATCTAGAGAAAAGGAGAAGAAATGGTGAGCTGATTGTTAACTGATGTTCATTTGCGCTTGTCCTGGTGTGTGGGAGACCTCGGGGGTTGTTATGGGATGATTCACTAAACAGACAAAAGCTATTCTGAAGCAGAGGAGTGGCTGCTGGACAAAGCTCTGCTGATGGTCTTGAGCTTTGGCCTGAAGACATGTCATCAGAAGCAGTCCTTAGTCCTGAAAAAGGGACCGTCTTAGGGGAACTAAGCAATTAGGGGAATGTCCTGACAGAAAATAAGTTACATAACTTCACCAGAAGGTATCATGAAACAGAGGCAAGCATGGAGAAAATGGGGTTGAAACATACGCTCCCACTCAGTCAGATGGGCAACAACAGGGCACCACAGGGTCTACTGCAAAAGTGACAGCTTCTACCTGATAATCACCCGTGGCTATGTGAGCCTATGCTTGATCAGTAGAATGAGAGCATCCCAGGAAAATCTAAGGCATGCATTCACATTTAGGAAATACAGGTAGTTTTCAGGGTGAATATATGACAGCATACGTGGGTGAAAAGTAGAAATGACACAAGGTGTGGTTTCTTGAAATCACAACCTGCTTTGCCAGACCAAGTGGCTGACAGTGCAACAGGAGAGACTTGGTGGTTTCTGTGATTGCACAGATGCATTTATTTATTTTCAGGATGTCTGTAATTATAGATACAGTTATATTAAATTATTTAGCAATAAAACCATGGTTTCTGTATTGCTTCATAAAATACCCTCTGGGCCTCATTTATCTTTGTGCCAGGATGAATCCAATGCAGTAATTGCTGTACTGAGTAATAAAATAAAAACCCAGGAAATATTGCTTAGCCCATTTTTATTCTGGTTTATTCTCTGCATAGGCAGTAAAAATACGTTTAATCTTTGACACTGCTTCTTGGTTCTGTATGGCTGAGTGAGAATGGGTAATGCCAAAACACTTAGTGAGAAAGGTGTGACCCCTCTAAAGTTTCCTTTTAAAGCCAGAGCCTTCTTATCAGTAGGGTTTCCGTAAGTCTAGTAATTGCAGCAGCATTTCCCTGATTACCCTCTTCCTCTTAGTCTTCAGGGTGGGAAGGGAAGTTGCTTTCTTAGGAGGACTCTATGATGCTGGCTTCAATGTGGTTGACAGGATGATGCCAGAAGGCATCCAAGAGAATAAGTGACCACAAATTAAAGGCTTAGCAATTTCTTACCAACTTCTTCTATTCTGTCTTGTGTCCATCTCTTCCAGAAGTCCTCTGAACTGTGCGACAGTCCCCATATTTGTAACAGGTTCACAGAAAATATACTACTCCACATACCTGCAAAGGAAATTAGTGAACACACCGACACAAGAAAGTACAAAAAGATGTGGGATTTTTTTACCACTACTACAAACTAGCACAACCCCCTATATTCTGCAAGGCAATATCGTAGCAGCATTCAGTCTGTTAGGCCAGAAATATCCACCCTCTAGTTAACAGCTTTGTCCTACTCCAAAGTGCCTCTATACCAGGACAAGGCAGTACATCACCTTGAAGGTAGCAGATCCGGGATTCAGGGAGCTTTTTCAACATGCGTCCCATGAAGAACTCGCTTCCAAAATTCTCAGTGCGGATGAACGCACCATATTTCAGCAGCCCCACCTCATAGGGGGTGAACTCCACCCACTCTGCAATGGAAACACAAGGAGACACTTAGAGGGCTCCCAGGCTCTCAGCTGGGTGTGGAGAGATTGGCAATGAGAGCATAAGCCATCCTGACCTCTGCTTGCTGCTTTTACAAAGCCTGGCTTATAAATGACAGCTGCAGTACCAGGCAGCTGAGCTCTGGCAGTGGGAAGGCAGGAGCAGGTATGTGGGTCCGCCCATGGCACAGGGCACATGCAGGGAGCAGGGCAAGTCTCCAGCTCCTACACAGCCCCTGTGCATGCACCAGTCCAGGGTTCTCCAGCAGGCACCAGGTTTTGCTCCACTCTTGCATGTGCCACATCTAAGTAAAAAGTACTTCCTTTAAGATCATCACTTCCAGCTGTTAAGCTAATGCTGCCAAGTTCACCACTAAACCATGTACCTAATACCACATCTACACATCTTTTAAATACCACTACGGATGGTGACTCTACCACTTCTAGGAAGCCTGTTCCAATGCTTGACAGCCCTTTCAGTGAAGAAATTTTTCGTAATATCCAGCCTAAACCTTCCCTGGCACAACTTGAGGCCATTTCCTCTTGGACTATTGCTTGTTACATGGGAGAAGAGACTAACCCCCACCTTGCTACAACCTATTTCCAGCTAGTTGTAGAGAGTGATAAGGTCTTCCCTCAGCCTCCTTTTCTCCAGACTAAACAACTCCAGTTCCCTTAGACACTCCTCATAAGACTTGTAGTCTAGACCTTTCATCAACTTCATTGCCCTTTTTCTGGACACTGCAGTTAATGCAATTTAATTTCACTTGAATAATTTGGCTACATACAAAGAAAGGTACTCAGCTCTTCAGAAATGAGGTTTTTGTAAGAGGCTCATTATACTCTTTATGTGGGGCACTGAGGAAGATAGTATAAGTCCTTGACTTTCATGGGTGTCCTCTCCAAGTGCAGTTGCCTGATATAACTGCAGTGTGAGCAAAGACTGGCACAGAAATGTCATAGACTATAATCTCCTTTTCATTTGGAGGCTATTTCTTTTTCATCTTAACCATAAAAATTTGTTCTGAATGTCTTCTCCATCTCTTCTCCTTCTTCAGCTTCTTTTCCCCATGGAAAAAAAAAAAAAAAAAAAAAAAAAAAAAACAATGAGCCAAGGAAGATACTCAGTTGGGAGTAAGTTGGATGCTTTCCCAACCTGTATCATAACAATGTGGTCTTTCTTCATATTGAAGCTGTTACTGGGCAAAAACAAAACCCAGTATTTAATTCTCAGACACTTCCAATGCTTCTTATTGTAGGTAGGTCAGATAAATAAAAAATGCCATTTCTGCCTCTATTTTTATTGCCTGTATCTTGACAGTTGAATACTCATCTCTAGAAGCTCTTGCATGGAGGTGATGATTGTATCTCCAAAAAGCAACTAACACACAAGGGCTGTTTTCTCAAAGTTCTACGAAGCAGAGAAGAGTAAAACACAGGAATTCTTTTGCTGGTTTCAACCCCTCCAGTTCTGAAACATCAACCTTACCTTTGAAATCATTGGTGCTGTAGTTGTTCCGGACACTGACTGACACATAGATGGGCAGCGGGTTCTGGCCATCACACAGTGCTTCTCTCTGGTCCGAAAGTTTGTGGGGGTCTTTCTGGTTTTGAAGAAAAACAGTTACGTGAGGAGAGATGGTAACAATGCAGGGTGAAGTCAACAAGGCTCACAAAGAGACAAGGAGAGGGGAAACTACTTCCTGCATAGATGTCTGTACGTACTATAAAGTACTGCCTGGAAATGTAGGAGAAGGGGCAAGCTGTCCCTTAGGATGAGGAGTGCAGTGTGCAGTCCTTGCTCTACTGGGGCTGAAGGAAGCCCTTGAGCAAGCTGGCATATAATTTCCTTTCTTAATGCACAACAACTGCGGCAGAGACTGGAATTTGGCAGCAAATTATTTTCATTCCACCTGACTATTTTTATGGAAATGCATATTCTCCTTGGAGAGATTTGTAAGAAACAAAAAAATCTCATGAACTGCTGACAAATTTAAGAGCAGGCGGTTCTGGCAGATTAAGGAAAGGTTAATGGTTACATAGCTTTGTCAGCATTACTCAGAATGAAAGATGCTTGGCTAGATTGTGAGGGGGACCTCATTTATCTGAGATTAAAAAAGAGGCAGCTATCCAGCTTATACCTTTGTTTAATATGTAGCATTCCTCTCCACGTGTATTTATCTTCTGTTTACATATACATGATAATATATTTGCTTATAACTAAATAAATAAATAAACAAATGAAAGCAAAGTAATGGCTGAATGACTGCAGCATCTCTGTCCCCACTGGAGGACACACCTGTCCAGTCCTCAATCACTCAACCCTTCCCAATTTCCAAGTGACAAAGCACTCATCCTTGAATTCTGGTCCAGCTGGAGAGATAAGGGAGTGGACTGCTGTACTGTAGGGGTAGAAAGAACTTCAAATAATAGAAAAGCAAATTTGTTACTGCTTGTAAAAAAATCATATAACTTAAACCAACTACTGTCTGAGTAGTCCTTGCCAACAAAAGTAAAATATACATTTGCCTCCCATGTATCTGCAAATCAAATTACCTGTCAGTGGATGCAAATCACCAAGCACTGTAGCTGTTTGCTTTGCATAGTTGTCACACTGCTGAGATTACTTTGCTTGGCATTTTGAACTCTTTTTGCATGTATCATCTGCATCTCAGGCAGACTGCCTGAGATTGCCTTCAGTGCAGAGTTCAAATGGCTGCATCCACAAGCTAATTCATCAGCATGTAGATGCATTTCTCCCTAGGCAGACAATAGAAGAAACTAAGAGAAGCCTGAGAGTTTTCTGACATGGGGAGCTCCACTATGTTTCGAGATTCATTCTCTGAATGGACAGGCTAGTTTCCCCTTCCTTCCCTAAAAGAAAAATGTGGTTCTTTAAGAAATGGAAAATATATATACCCCATCATTTAGTAAGTACTCAATCATGAGTCCCCAAAGATCGATAAATGTTGTCCTGTATCCCTCCTCTTTCCGCTGACAAAGCTGCTTGTTGTAGTACTTCATGCGATCCGTGGAGAAACAGCCCATCTTGCATTTGGTTGCTTGTTTCTGGGCTTCACCAATATGTGAGTCTAGGTCCTTCTGCGACCAGTAGGCATCTCTGTATAAGGTGGCCATGGTCCTGGAGAAAGGTAGTACAGACAGCAAAAATTAAAAGCAGCAAAAAAAAAGGCTTGAAATATTCTATCTTTAGGGACAGAGGTTTACATCTAGGGAATCACTTCTGCTCATAAATTCTCTGGTTTTGCTGTTCCATCCAGCAGAAGGAACACTTGAGATTTTTTGTGACTGCTTCAAAGATGACCCTGAAGGGAAAGTGTTGGGTTTTTTTCAGTTATCCTGATTTTTTTTAAAAAAAACAACAAACAGAACTGGCAGCAGCTTAAGGGATAAAATTGACAGGTATGAACACAGGTACATTTCTCAAGCAGAAAATATGTATTTTCCTTGGTTGTTTTCTAGAACCACATTTCAGTTCATACCAGCTACTGTGTCTTGGCTTCCTATCACTTATGTTAATCTAATGCTATCACTATGCTTTATTTAATACCCTTCCCTATTTCACCAACCTTCTTTACATGGGAACTTCAGGTGTTGGGCAGTTGTAGGTCCTGCAAGCAGGCAATAGCACTGCACGTGGGAACTCAGTCCCAAACTGACAGATTTCAGGGGAAAGTGTGTGCTGTCCTGAAGTTTTGTCTTTGTGACCAGTTTGAAGGCAGAGCCACTCTCAGAAATTACTGGGAACAGCAACAACAACTGGAACATCAGTGGAAAGAAGAGGTGTGATGCTGTGGGCAGTCTTACATCTGGAGTAACTGCTTGCTTTGAAACCATTTTGACAAGAGTAGTTGTTAAATACATATTTAATTGCTGTAAATGTGGAGTTCAAAAGCACAGCAGAGAACTAACTGCTAGTCAAAAACTGGTGCATGAGGTCAAACTACTATTTAACGGTCTGTAACTGAGAAATAGATTGTTCATATGATGTTTGAAGAAAATCTTCTGATCTTCTTTATTTCAGAAGCTGCTCCCTTCAGCAACATCACCCTGAAAAGGCCTGGCCAAGCCTCCTGCACAAGCTGGCTTACCATGTGGTGCCAGAGAGCCCACTGATGTATGTTATACAGTCCAGGAGGTTTAATTTCTTGAGTCCTGAGAGACTGCCATATAGTCCTGTCATTGACTTCAGTCCTCCACCTGTGGTGATGATAGCCACAACGGGGACCTGTTGGACAGAGGAGGATGGGACATTCACACTGACAGTGTCCACCATGATGCCCTGGAGTGCCCCGTGGTCTGGGCATCACACCCAGCCCGCATCCTGATATTAGACCCTATGCCCTCTTTCAAAAAGAAAGGCTTTGAAATCAAGCAATGACTGCTGCTCCTGCTTCCTTTTGGATGGATGTGGGTTCCAAAATTAACCCAAACTTTGGTTCTTGCCCATCTCTAGGACAAATGGGAGAACAGATGGACAAGAAGCCATCCTTGTGTGGAGGCAACAAATATTTTCTCTACATATCCCACTGCTTTGCCACGTTTTTCTTATTTCACACACCTGCTACTACTGTTTGAAAATCCACTTGCCAGCCCCATGAGGAAACACGCTTAGTTCACAGCCACTGTTGTTAAGCTGTCCTCATCTATGTCATTATTCTCCATCATCATGAAGTTACTTTAAAATAAATTATGTTTATTTCAAGGAATTTCAAAACTGCAGGAAAGGGAAGATGTTCTAGGAAACACCCAGAGATTTTTTCTTATGCTTTCACAAAATGATGAAACTTGAACAAAGGAAGGAATCTTTGCCAAGCAATGCATTTAATATACACGCAGTATTTTTTAAATCAAGCCAGTTATAGCATAGGATGGCAGGGATGAACGCACTTCAAATCGAACAGATTCCAGATTGAAGTCATGAAGGTTGCAACTACTACAACTTGGCAGCAATAAAAAAAACCTTGGTGGCAGAAGCCAATGTTCTTAAAACACATGCATGAACTGTTATCCCCACAACCGATACATGTTGCCCATTTTGCTGACCACTTATCTAGAAGAATACATGAAGGCACTAAAAATTCAAGACCCACTCCCACAGACTCATGTACCTCACACTCCTGCAGATCATGTGGTAGGTGAAAAACATTTTTTAGGGCACTTGCTACATATCTCTTCCTTTTCTGCAGAAAAGTCACCTCCTCTGAACATAAGTCAAACCCAAAGCGCATGTCCAGGTCTTGGTGGCATGAACAATTACTAAGATAAAAACAGGCACATATATTACGTATCAACACACCCATAGCAATCTCTAGGACTTTGATCAAAGATAATCTGCAGCTCTGTTCATTTGAATTAGGGTGATGCAGTGTGACAGGAGTGAGACAATATTCTATTTTTAAAAGAGAACTCATTTCAGTTAGTAAGCTTAACTAGTGGCATTATATTCTGTTATTACTAACTAATGAAGAAAGAATGTACAGTATTTACAAATGAAAGAAAACATTAGAATATTCAAAAACTGAAAGAATTACAAATTTAGAAAATCTGGGCAACTGTTCAAAGTGAGAGTATTGATTCTTATTTCACCAGAAATTTTCTCATTCTAAATCTAGAATAAGACCCTGTTTTCAAACGTTGGCATTTCATACGGGAAGGGAACGTCCCATTTTAAGCAACTAGATTGGGAATGCACCCCCCTCTAGTGGTGAGCGGTGCTCGGGAGGAAAATCCATCCAGCCCTAGATAGATGGGGATGGGTCACCGAATTTAGTGGGGCGGGATTTCATCCTCCCGCTGCTCTGATCTTTCTGCAGTTGCACAAGCTGTTTCATGGGTCAATGCTGGCAGTTGCATTTCCCACCAACCTTGACTCAAAAACTTATAAAGCTTTGTATTCCTCAGAGAAATACTTCATTTCATTCCATTCCTGAAAACTCCACCGTTGTAACTTATTTCCCTGGGCATTCGTGCACTTCCACTCACTAACCTCCCTCCTGTCTCTTTCTTCCCTGGCACCTACCAGACCTCAGTGGGCAAGAGACCTGGTGTGGTGTCTTCAGGCCAGAGCTATCTGTGGATGCCCTGGACAAGCACTGTAAAATGGCAGGGTTTGGTTTTTATTTCCATCACAGAACTTCTCTCTTCTACTGAGTCTGTAATTTCAATGAAAACTAGTAGAGAAATTTATGAGATTTCTCCACCATCAGATTTGGATAAAATCAGCCAAATTACTACAACTGTATTTGTAAATTAAGACATTCAAGGAAAAGTGAATCATGTGGAGCTGCAAAAGCCAGTTTCCATTGTAAATCAAGATATAAAAAAAATTGGTTGTTAAGTTTTCTGGAAGTAAAATAAATAAATGAGAAGCATTTTTCCTGTTCTAGAATAACACTGATTTTCCTGTTGTCATTGATCACTTGCCTTTCTGAAACGAATGATAGAAAATTCTTTTTGAACTCAAAATTGAGTTATTTTTCCTTTTATTTCCTAGTCAGGCACACACACTAAAAAAAGATTAGCTCACTCAGTTCAGTGTGGTATACGCGGGTATGGATAACATTAAGCATCTTCATGTTTACTGATGAGTATTAATGAGTATATCTATAGGTATCAAATCACTAGCCACGTGGCTACCCGAGTTTCTACTTAATATAAAGCATAACAGGACTTAACAATATACAAGGTTTATTGTTATTAAATACTGACAGTTAAGGAAAAAAAAAGTTCATAATTTCTGACCAACTGTAATGTTTACTCTGTCTATTCAGTTTTTTGTCAGCTTTGTCCTTTTTGTGAATTTCAGAGACTGTCATTGATAAAAAATAATATTCTGTGGTCAGAAAGGGTAATGCTAAAATAAATACATGTTTAATAGCATTTATTTTTTGAACCACAATCTTACTGGGGCTAATTATGTATCATTTATTATTAACATATTTTAAGTTTTATCCAAATAATGTTCTAGGCTTCAGGCTGAGAATGCCTGCTGATGTCTTTTCCATGTGGCTGAACAATATCAAAATCAATAACCCAAGTCTTTAGGAATAGAAGAAGATCTCTTACCACCTTAGTGCTCTCACATTCAAGTCAAATCTTTTCTCCTGGAAAACAAGAATGTGTAGTGCAATTTTTAAATTTTCATTTTAACATTTCTTTTTTCCCATTCTGTCTTGGGGTCTGACAATTGCAAAGCTAAATGTCTGAGATCTCACCATATATTTCCAAAAGCATTCACTTATCCTTAGTGGAAGATCCCTATCCACAGATCCGAAATGCCTCCAGGCTGCAGAAACCATTAAGAACCTGGATATGGGCGGTTCCTGAGACTCATGTAATAGGTCCCATTTCCTGTGTTATTCACAAGCTTTCTGTAGCATCCTGAATTACTGGCTTCTGTATATTTCCTGCTTTTTATGCTCTAACACACAGCAGATCTTGGACATCCTGGCCACAGCCTCACAGCAAGGAGACTGCAAGTCTGCATTTGCTTCTGCCATCTTGAAATTCTTATTACACCCTCCATATTAGCTGACAAAAACCACTATGTTCTGAGAGAATGTTTTAATGACCCTGAAATCTAATGTTCTCCTTCTTCTTCAGAGCATAACAATTAATAATTGAATAAGATTATCCCTAATAATCTGGGTATCTGTAGATGTTTCTTAGAAGAAACACTTTAAAAAAAAAAAAAAATATATATATAGTAAGGATCCTGTTTTTCTATTAATTTCATTCAAAATTATACAGCACATACATCTATTTAATGCAATATTTTTTAAAATCCATACATGGTGGCCACTATTTTCAGTATATTTTAATATTCTATCCTTTGAAGCACATGATTTAATAAGGGCAGGCTGATTGACTTTTTCCTAGCTTTTGCCTAAGGAGCAACTTTCAGTTTGGACCTTATAAAATATATATATAGTAAGGATCCTGTTTTTCTATTAATTTCATTCAAAATTATACAGCACATACATCTATTTAATGCAATATTTTTTAAAATCCATACATGGTGGCCACTATTTTCAGTATATTTTAATATTCTATCCTTTGAAGCACATGATTTAATAAGGGCAGGCTGATTGACTTTTTCCTAGCTTTTGCCTAAGGAGCAACTTTCAGTTTGGACCTTAAGCGAAGGAGGGGTGAACAAGTCTTTGGGTAAACAGGGAGAGAGGTGCTGAAGGAATCATTGTATTTTCTTACATCCTTGTTGATTTCTGTATCCACTACTGGCATGTAACGGAGACTAATGGAGGGATAACATGCTGCTGTGGAGAAAACAGCTGGAGAAATGAAGCTTTTGTTTGTTCAAGGTCTGAGAAATAATCAGAGCATTTCTGACCCTATTAGCAGCCATCTGGGACAATACTATGGAGAATGATTTCTACTTCTAAGAGCTGAAAGTGATGCTCACCTCTGCAATGGTTGTTTGTGTTCCTATGGGCAGTGAATTCAGCATCACCACTGGGGAGCCCGTCTCTGTACTGTACTTACATCTCCACTGGGAAAACAACATGCTTTAGGACAAAAACAGCAATGGATTTACCCTCTCCCCCTCCTCCCACTTTCTAGAGAAGCACTCATGGTCAGTTCATCATTAAGGTCACTTCCAACATACAGGGTGGTAGTGTCTCTTCTTTGGCAACATGACATCCAGTGTTGGCTCCGCGTACTTGATGTAGTGGAACTTGGTGAGACAGGAAGGGCTGACCACTCCATCGGGGCCCAGTGTGATATCCCGTGTCCCTTCAAAGGAGCCCTTCACTGTGAGGGAAAGCTCTTTCTCTAAAAAAAAAGCAGAACAAAGGTCTTGAGAAATGTCACTGTGATTTATCCGGAAAATTGAGCAGGTAGCAGGGCTGTAGAGTCTGGACCAAAGCTTTGTCTAGTGGAAAGCACCCTGAAGGGAGCACTGGTAGCAAAGGCAATGGAGCAAAGCAGATGCTTTTTTTGTAGGAAGGGGGACTTTGAATGTTCTCACTGTTACATAGAACTGGGATTTGATCTTTAATGCAGGTCTAATAGACCTTATTTACATATACCTCTAGGAGTACAAGATGCAGTCATCAAAGTCTACAACAACCTAATGTGTTCACCTCATGTTAACAGCACTGAATACTGTAAATACTGTTTATTCCACTAATAAATTACACGAACGGGGCATCCTCTCATCAGTAAGCAAGCCAGTGTTGGCAAAGAGATAACAAAACAATAAACTTACTTGATTTTTGCTGTGTCTTCTCCGCCACTTCAACTTCCAAGCAGCAAAGTTCACGACACTGTAAAAGACAGAGAACAGGAATCTGTAAGATTGTCACATTCCAACTTTGTTACAAGGAACTGTGAAACAGTCAGCTTTTAAACATGTCAAGTTACCTGAAGTGCCTGATTCCGTGGCATTTATGGGCTTCTGCCCAGTAGCCACTAAGAAATAGTAAAAGCTTTGGAGGGAGTTGTAGAGCATCCTCCAGTGACAATGACATGTGATTGGGTACAGTAAGAGGGAAATACAAAGGAAGACAATCAGGAGCATTTTCAGGATAGTAAGATGATGCAAAGGGTTAAACTGGGAAAAACATAAATGAAAGAGACATTAAGAGGCAGTAGTAGAAGAGGTTTTTTGAAGGAGCATAGCTATTAACTTTTAGGTTTGTTTTTTGGGTTTTTTGTTTAGTTTTTTTTATGGCACTCACTCTTCTTTCACATAATGTAATTTTAACAGGTCAATGCTGAGCTTACCCACTAAGCATGACTCATGTCCTAGAGGAGGAAAGGGCCACTGGGTAGGTTATCAGTAAGTGGCTTCACAGTCTTTTACAAGTGTGCTTTGACAGACAGCAGCACATTTTTTTAAGGAATAGTGGTATCCGAGGAGAGCTGTGTGTGTGTGTGTGTGTGTGTGTGTCTGCAGATTGTCGAAATACAGGACAAATGAGAAATCATGGGATATCAGCAATTAACACAGTAATAAAATATCCCACTATCAAAGAATCTAAATAGGAAAGAAGAAAGAAAGAGAAAAAAATTACCTACTGGCTTCTCTAACCCCCACCTTCTCTTCCCCGTTAAATTAAGGAAACAATTATAGATATTTTTTTTTAAGTCACATACCACTAGGACTCCATTGGTAGCAATGTTTTCATAAGGACCAGAACTGGGAAGCAAAATGAAAAACATGGATTTTTTAGATGAAACAAATACCCACTCAACCTTATCCAGGGCTTTGCCCTCTCTCCCCATTTTAAACAATGACCAGAGGAACACCAGCAGGTTTGTAACAAGTTCCTTTCCACGTTTGCTAGGACTGAGCACTGCTCTGAGGGGAGCAGTGTGGGGTGCCTCTGTACCAGAGCTAAGCAATATGTGCGAGGGTTACTTTTTTGGAGTGCAATCTCAGGATCATCTAAAATGGAATCTGCCTTTGGGCAGTCAAATTCATGTAATGTACATGTATTTAAGCTGTATCATATTAATACAGAATCACAGAAAAATCATGGTTGGAAAGGACCCCTGAGATCACCAAGTCCAACCATAGAAAAAAAAAACAACACAAAAACCACCAAAACCACACACAAAAGAAACAACCAAAACCACAAAACCAAAACAACACCCAAAACCCAAAACACAGACACTCACAGAAAAAAACCCACACCCCTAAAAAACCCACAACACAAACCCTACAATCTCTGCTACTAGAGCATGCCCTGAAGTTCCTCTTCTACACATTTCTTGAACACATTCAAGGATGATGACTCCACCACCTTTCTGGACATTCTGTTCCAGTTCCTGATCACTCTCAGTATAGAAATTCTTCCTAATATCCAATCTAAACCTCCCCTGCTCTGACTTCAGTCTATTTTCTCTGATCTTGAATACACCAGCATTATCCCTGTTGAGGTGCCCAGTTCTATGTATTTCCTGATATGCAAATACAAATAAAGGAGCACAAGGCAGAGGGTACAATTACATGGGGATAGCGAGGAGGGGGAAAAGCTTTTCAGATAATTTTTGCTGAAGTCAGGAGATGGTGTGAGGTTCTGGTCGTGGCTCCCCACTAGTTTGAGGGCTGACCTTAGGCTGGTCACTTTATTTCTGCCATTTCTTGATTACCTTGTGGCAACAAAGAGACAAAAGTACTGATTCAAATGGACCACAGGCTGATCATGCTGGAGGAAAAGCCCTGCACTAGAGCTTCCAACATGTTGTAGTTGAGTTGGGCAGAAAGAAAACGGAATTACTAAGACCAAAACAGTTCTGCAAGGAAAAATTGGAGGAGTCAGAGATACACTGGAAAACTAATCAGGATGGTTCAATGTTAGGAGTCTGTCCAACGCATAACTCAAAACAGGCATGGGAAGATTAGCAGATATGTGTGCACACACAAGCACATGTACACCACACTCAAAATGTTTTCTGATATGTCCCCAGGTAGACAAATCCAACATTGTGGATAGAAGACACAATGCTGGGAGTTGCATATTTGAAAGCATCTAAACTATGGAACAAGCTGACTGGAGGGATCAGCCAGCTGTCTGAGACTGCAGTGATGATGTAGGAGAATTTCAGCACAGAATTTCTACAGAAATCCCACAAAGTGTGACTTCTAACAGTATTTCTTCTTAGCTTTTAATGATTTGTGCATTTTTTAAATAATACTTACGCGGCCTCCAATTTGAATTCAACCTCTAGCTCCTCCTTAGCCTGAAAGCAAGAACAAGAAATAAAATCAAGTAGCTACATAATGCTTTCTCCCTTGTCTAAATCCAGGTTCCTGGTATGCAATATTGAAGTAATTGGCTGCAATGCACAGCCTGTGGTATGTATTTCAGACTAGAAGATCTGAAAGAGTATTTCAAAGCATAAAGCTTCATGACTCCTTCCTCAACTCCTTCCTTCTTCAAGGTATCATCAAAACAACCTGTAATTTTATCTCTTAGTGTGAAGCTGCTCCAGAAAGACAGTTTGCAACTTGCTTGGTCTTCTGAAGTCTACCTTTTTTCTCCTAACTATTCCTGGCACTGTCTTGACATGACTTACTGCCTTTGCTTTTAGCTTTAAAGTTAAAGATACTTTCTACCCATTGCTTTAACATAATAAATAGGTACTGGTATTATTGAACGATTCAGAGTTACAGCAGTGCAACTCTCTGTAAGGCAGTGTTGGTATCTATGAGGTAGTTGTGTGTGACCTAGTTTGGGTACTAGAAGCAGTCTGTCCATGGTAGCAAGAAGTTGCATGCAAGACATTTCACTGATCTCATCCACAGATCCCAAAGGGAATCAGGGCTCTTTTACCCATTCCATAGATCGGAAATCTAGAAACTGAGTATATCACTCATTCAGGGCTCCAAAACCACACTAATTCTGATAGTTGAGTCAGCAGGCTCAGCCCTGGGTGACTTATCACTGCAGAGGATAGTACTGGGATACACACAGGGGCAACTTCAGCTTTGCCTTTGGGATGAAAGTAGATACAATCCAAGGGGATGGGGTAGTGGCTATAAATTACATGGGGAAAAAAAAAATTACAAATTATTCACCCTGCAACAGCTGTGCAGCCTTGGTATTGCTCAAAGATAGCTCATGGTCAGACACCTCCTCTACCTGCCACACTGTTTCAGTCAGTATGCTCTTCAATAATTTATAAAAATACTGGCAGTATGCTCTCAGGCTCTCAAACCCAGATTTTTTACCACAATTTTTATGGTTGTATTTTGAATAGCAATTAATGTACCCCTTATTGGGATAAGTCATCCATGATGGATTCAGAAAGCTCACCCCAAGACACTGAAAGTGTTGTGTAACTCTTCACGCGTTTCTTAGTTGCTTTATTTTTTCTCTCACCTCTGAGCTCGGCTTAAAATACAAGATCACTGTTCTGTCAATTGGAAGTTTAGCAGTATCAAAGAGTGCACAGAGGAGATGGTCATCTGGAGTAAGCAAATCCTCATCATACACTGTCAGCTCCAGCACATTCTGGAAAAAGAGGGAGAAGAGGGTCTTGTAGTTTCTACAGCCTGAACATCATTAGCTCTAGAGAAGGAATGCCCCTTTTGGAAAAACAGTGTAATTTGAAAATTAATTCTTGCCTAGTTCAGTTTAATTGTTGTAACATGAGTAAAACATTGGCTATGCCTACATGAGAGCTTAGTTAACTCCCAAATTCTGTCGTATGAGTCTATAGTTTCATAAAACTTCAATATCTAGCTCAGTTTCTGACCCTCCTAAACAGCACCATCAAACACACACAAGAACTCAGTTATCTCTGCTATTCAACAGTTTGAACAGCCCCTTATCATGTTCCATCCCTTAAACAATTCCTGACCACAGTTCAGAAGATAGATAGGAGCCACCATACACCAAATCTTCAGGCTACTTGATGCATACAGCTTTGGCTCCTTACCTTGACCTGACTCTGGAGCCTGAAGTAGAATGTCTCATTCCACACCGGATTGTTGGAGTTTCTCACGGTTTTAGTGCGGGACTTTTCACACGTCGCAGTCGGAAGCCACAAGGTCACGTAGCAATCAGCCTGGCTCACTGGGTAAGGAAAGAGGCAAAACAATTGTTCATGTGGCAAAGCCAGTAGTGCTGCATGACACTGGAAGGTTACTGTGCGGTACTGGCAGCCGGTATTTAAAGGCAGCAATGCCTGATGTAATGTAACTGTTTTCAAGATATCCTTCTGAGACGGAAAAAGCACAGACCATAAGATGACCTAGAAGTGAAGGTGGTTTCTATCCTTGTGCGAGTTACAGACAACAGCAATGTTGTGTATGAAAGAAGGTGAGAATTTCCTCTTCTAGTCAGACACTTTCTTCAGTTTCTCAACCAACAGTGTTCATGTGTGCATGCACACACACTCTAACCCTCAGCTGCTGTTTGATGAAAGGGGCCTGGGAGCCTCCTCCACCTTTTGAGAACAGCTGCAAAATGTCTCTATTTCTGCCTTGCCTTCAGTGACTTTCTTGGTGAGGTTTTGTGAAAGCAGCTGCAGAACTACCCCTGTTGTAGGAGATGGCAGAGGCTTCCTCCAGAAAGAGCTACTTATATTAGACTGTTGATCTTTACTAATTGTCACCTCCAGGAAGAGAGAGGTCAGGTCTCTCCAAAAATGCGTCAGAAGAATGTTAATGAAGGATATTCCAGCACATTTATCAAAGACACCTAAATTGAAGTCTATTTCTAATTGTTGTATCCAAAAATGTCCTATGCTCTGTGCTGGAGGAATGCAACGTTTCTTCGTGTGGGTTATGCAAATACTTCAGCACCTTGGGGTTCTCTCTTACACAATTCTTAACAAGAAAATTATCAAATATCATGTCATGCAAAAAGTAACTAACTTTGAGAATGGACATCCTTCAGTATGAGCCTTTTAAGAAAGACAAGTGATAGTAGCAGTAAATGGAGAGGACCCTTCAGCAGCAGGTAAGGACTCTGCAGATCAGGGGAACAAGAGCTTTCACATCAACTTGTAGTGAAAGGCAAAAACTTGCCTGGGTGCAACAAGAGCTTCTTTTTTCCTTTTCTTTCTTTCTCCACCATGTTTTACCCTACAGACATTGGCTCTGTCTCTAAGTGGGTGGAGGCTGCATTGTATGTTGAAGCAAGTGTATTTATTCAAAAAAGCTTGCTGCTTTCCTGTCTAAGTAAGAATGAAGAACTGAAATTCAGAACTGCTTGAGAAATTACACAATGCATTGTGAAACGTAACTGCCACCTTTTAACTTTATAATGCAGAAACTGAACAGCATACTTAATTCTGTAAAATTTTTGCTTAAAACAATTGTGGAGAAATCAACACATTCCTGCAGGGTCAAAAAACCAGCATTCCTCTGATGGAAAAATTTCTTTGGAAAATATTCAGCAGGCCCTAGTCCTCTCCCTCTCCTGCTCTCTTCCACTGTCTATATCTTATTTGGGGTTAAAAAAAAAATAATAAATTAGTTTTTGACAGCAGCTTAACTGTCCTTTTCTGGTGTTATACATTATACTTTAACACACTTCTGTGTCCCCACCACTGTTATCTCTTAGCTGCTTCCCTGTATTTTCTTCCTGACTGTGTTATTTGAGAGGTCATTTCACCTCCAGTATTAACTTTTGCCCCTTCTCTTCCCTCCCCACACCCATCTCCCTCTCCCTCCCAAAACAAAATCCTGAAGGGAAGGAAAAGCGTTGCTATGTGCTGCCTTCCTGCTCTGTGTTCAAGCCCACAGGTGGAAACAGAAATTACCCCAGTAGCATCTGTTTCCCTCACACAGATGGCACCACAGACTGATGCAGCTTTGCAGACTGATGACTCCAAGAATTGTGATTCCCAGGGATGTCTTTTCACTTCAAACTTTTTGTTTGCATACTGTATCTCTTTACCTCCTGCTCTCCTTACACCAATGCCCATGTTGCACTAAGGCTTGCAGGGTATACCTAGGTCTTTACCATTGTGGTGGGTACAGATAAACAACAAGCAGCATGAAAAGCCCTACAATTTAAGAAGGTCCTTGAATGCATCCAGTGATGCCAGGAAGGCTGGAAGGCATGTCCTCTAAGGAGTGGCTGAGGACTTTGAGCTTGTCTAGTTTGGAGAGAAGGAGGCTGAGAGGCCACCTCATGGCTCTCCACATCTTCCTGAGGAGAGGAATGTGCTGATCTCCCTGGTATCCAGTGACAGGATGTGTGGGAATGGTTCAAAGCTGTGCCATGGGAAGTTTAGACTGGACATTCAGAAGCATTCCTTTACCAAGAGGATGGTCAAACACTGGAGCAGGCTTCCTAGAGAGGTAGTGGATGCCCAAAGCATGTCAGTGTTTAGGAGGCATTTGGATGATGCCCTGGATAACATGCATTAACTTGGTCAGCCCTGAACTGGTTAGGCAGTTGGACTTTGTAATTGTTGTAGGTTACTTACAACTGAAATAGTTCTATTCTATTCTATTCTATTCATAAACAATGCAGAAAGACTATGCACAGATGATGCATGTTGCTGCATGCTACAAGGAGACTGACTGCTAACACTGAAAAAAACATTAGCTGTTCATTCCAAATTTCTCCCTAGTAAGGGCAGATCCAGTCACCATGGCCAGTCTGCTTTACATATTTACCTAGCTTAGGCACATCAGTATCTCTCTGAAGGAGGAACAGAGTATCTCATGTGCACCTTTTCCTTGTAAAGGAAGTTGTCTGTATTTCATAGAGACAGCTCTGTCTTTCATGGACAGAGTTGATTCAAGAATAACATTCAAGGCCGCACTTATTCTGTCTTAAGACACCATTTTAACTTCCTGCTATTTGCAAATTCCAGCATTCAGTCTATGCGTTTCCAGGAAGCATGTCTGTCTTGGACTGGGCATTTTGGGATAGTCTCATCTGAAAGAATTTAGATATTTTTTTTCCAAGGATGAGACAGAAGAAAAACATTAGATGTTTTCATGTTAAAAAAGAAATTATTAATAATTTTACTGCCAGATAATAACCCTTCTACACCGTGCTCCAGAGCAGAATCATAGAATCAAAGAATCATCAAGGTTGGAAGGGACCTCAAAGATCATTAAGTTCCAACCCTCCTGCCATGAGCAGGGACCCCTACCACTAGATCAGGTTGCACAAAACCTCATCCATCCTGGCCTGGAAAACCTCCAGGGATGGGGCATCAACAACCTCCCTGGGCAACACATTCCAGTTCCTCACCACCCTTATAGTGAGGAATTTCTTCCTAATATCTAAACTAAATCTCCTCTCTCTCAGTTTAAAACCATTACCCCTTGTCCTGTCACTGTCTTCTCTGATGAAAAGCCCCTCTCCAGCTTTCCTGTAGCCCCTTCAGGTACTGGAAGGCTGCTATTAGGTCTCCCCGAAGACTTCTCTTGTTTAGGCTGAACAGCCCCAACTCTCTCAGCCAGTCTCCATAGCAGAGCTGCTCCAGGCCTTTGATCATCTTGGTAGCCCTTCTCTCAACTGTTTCCAACTGGTCTATATCTTTCTTGTGCTGAGGAAACAAGCTAATTCTAGAGCAGTACTGCACAAGATCCACCATCTGTCATTCAGACAATGCCAGAATAAGGATCTCCCAAAACAGAATTATGCAGAGTCATGTTTTTAAAATGTTTTTAAAGTAATTCTGAATGACTACTGCATGACTTCAGGTTTCTCATTGAATATCAATGACTGTTGGCTGGCTGGCAAAATACTCTGTTCTACTGATGTGATTCATCATTCTTGTATCTTAACTATACTTTGAGATACAAAGCATATCAAACAATCCTTAATTAAATGAGTAGATGTAGGCAAGCTAGTCAGCTGTATATTTAATGTATAACATTGCTTCAGTCCTGCTTGCACAATCTCTTTCTACAACCTAGTTATTTATGATTTTGTTGTAATGCCTGAGAAGATCCTTGAGTCTTTGATGAAACCTTTCTGTATTATTGCATCACCACACGTGTGCCACAGCCACGGACTAGGAGGGAGGTACAGGCACAGAAAGTGCTACCTAATGATACAGACAAAGATACAGCTGATACAGCCCTTACTTGGAGCTGTGACACAGGTACATCCTCTGATATAACTTCCAGAAAAACATGTAACAGCCTCAGGTTAAGATGGGAAAGGCACTGCATTATGTCTGTGAAACAGGAGAATCAACAGAGACAGCAGAATTACAGAATTTCCCTCCCACGCTCATCCTAGAGCTCGTTGCAGCATCCTGTCATAGGTGGTCATGCAGCTGTATTGATTCAAACAAAAGAGTTACCCTGCCTATTTTGTGTGAAATGCCTCTTCTCACTGCGCATGTGGGCAGTCCATATCTTTTAACAAAACAGTGTTTTCCTTTCCTGCTCCCTCCCTTCTCAACACTTTCCTGCTGTGTGACTCACACTTTTGCACACATCCCAGACTCCTGTGTGAGTGTCAGAATGGACAAAGCATCCAGCTCTCCATCAGCATGGTTTCTGACAATCATTTCAGAGTAATTAATTATGGCATTAGCCTGCTGTTAATGATTTTAGAAATTTTTTTTCTTGTTCATTTCATCTGCCTCAGAACCAAGACTGGAGGGATGAAAAGGTTTGCTCCTACCAGCCACAGTTCCCAAGGCAACCCAATGGCAAAAGTACCCCTCACTTTTGAAAACACAGATGTCATCTTCTTCATCTAGCTGTGTCAGAAGCTCTCCTTTCTTTGGGAGAAAGTACTTAGACTCAAAAACTCATTGGAGTCTTAAAACCAACCAGAAAGCACAGGAATAACGTTCAATGAAACAGCAGCAAACAGCAAGGACTGACCTGGTTTATAACAATTAGTTTATATAAACATTGGGTTATTTCAGAGACACTTGGAAAATGTTGCTATATGACTATAGAACAAAACTTGTTGCCCATAACCTGAGATACCACTAAGAATGGAAATACTTACAGTTGTCCGCTCGCTGGAGATTGTTCATCCGGATGATCCTTACAGTGAGCAGGTAGCAGGGAGAGGATTCTATCTGGAGAAGGACAGTACAAAACAGAGTATCAGTAAGACTTCAGTGGGGAAAAGCATCAAATATGAAAATGAAACAAGTACTACAAAGCAATAATTACCAGCCAATACAGTTGGTAAAAATTGCGTCAACTGTCTTACAAGTCTGCAGATGAAAATCTGCAACATAAGCTTCTGCTATTAAAGAAGTCTTAGTTAACATTTTATATACTTCTCTGTCCTTTTACTGTATTACAGTCTGGACTGCTCATCATAGCAGAGAAGAAAGGGATAAATCCCTGTCAACTGACACTGTCTGTGTGATGCTCACAAAACCACTTCCTCTAAAATTGCAGAGTACAGCTCTACAACACAGCTACAATGAGTCTCTTGAAAAGAGTAAATGCACTGGTGGAGTTGTCAAAATATGGTCAGCCTTGCTCAAAGTTACAGTCAATCCCCTTAGTAACCACCTGTGATGTTCCATCACATTGAAAAGGACACTGTGGAGAATATCTGTTGTTGCTGGCAAAACACAAACTACCCCTCTCAGAGAGTAGGAAAGCATAGATTTCTTTTTTCCCTTTACAATTGTATGGGGAAAACACTTAACAGTAATCTGAGGTTTTGTAAATCACAATGGTGAGATAAACCAATGACTGAGAATTGTTTCCAGAGGATTTGGGGGTAAGGAATTAGGTACAGGTTGCCTTGGGGGAAAAGTGATGAACAATACCCACCTCTAAAGAACCCCTAAGATTGTAAGTGCTTTACTTTCTTTGGTCCCTTTGAATGTCTCAGCCATAACTTTTTATAAAACAAGTCTCTACAGGTTTTGTGACTGCAGGGACCTCTTCCTATTTATTATTAGAGGATAATGTGATTTCCTTCTTCTAAGGAAGGCAATATCCTGCTGGCTCATTCCATAAAGCTGTCTCTGGCTCAGACCTATCTGCTAAAGGATACTCTGACAAAGCCAATAAATAAATCAACATTTCCTGTGGCTGTGACACACAGTCATTTCCTCACACTCCTAGAAACATTTCCACCTGCAGAGGTGGTTGCTGCAGAGCCCTCCAAATCATTCCTTTTGACAACTACTATTTTAATCAGCTTATTTCCCCTCATTTAGAAGCATCTTTCTATTTATATAGCACTTCAGAGACTTCCTAGGATGACTATAAACAAGCAGACAAAATAGATGTTAAGGCAGATAAAGAGAAGCTGGAAGATCCTCACTTAAAACAATATGTATAATGTTGCCAATTTATTTTTTTTTTCTAAGAGAACAGAGCAAAAAGGATCTTATTTTCAGATGGAAAGACAATCAGGCCTCCTTTGTCACAACAAATTACTTTTCCAATTTCTGTTTAAAGTCTTCTCCTTCCTAACACATCACTTAATGTTAAAATGTTTTCCCTGAGATTTTGCTGCTTTCACCCCTCCTGTATATGCCTCAAGAATTTGTAGTTTTCTTCCTTTTTTAGTGCTTCAAAAATTCACCCTTAGCAATCCACCCAGCTTCTATTTCAAGCATTCTCAAGGGAGACAAAGCATAACAGAAGCTACAAAATTTGCGAACAACAGCTGGTGGAGGGGTATGCCCTCAGAGCTACCCCATGCAAGGACACTGGCTCACATTTCCAAAACAGTACAGCCATATTAATACAGCTCTCCACCCAGTTAATTAACCCTTCTTCTCAGCTGGGCAATTAGCAAAGGTGGATCAGCACACTCACATGTTAGGAATGAGCTTGGGCATCTCAGCGTATGCCCTAGAAGGCAGAAACTCATCGTTTAGTGGGATCTGCATAAGCATGGGGCAATTCTTGCAGCCGTTTGTCTCTGGAGATTGCACAAGGTGCTGCCAGCTCCTGGATCAGCTCCAGCTGCACTTCCGCAGGCAAAGGGCATTGCTTGAGTGAGAACCCATGGATTCCATATTTGCAAAGCAGTTTAAGATTCTTAGATAGGAGACATTAAGGATGTACAGTGGGTTGGGGTTTTTTTAAATTATCGTAACATGGTGTCTGCCATCTGATCACCTATCTCCTTGTTCCCATGTAGTGACTTTCTAACGTCTTGGGCAGATTTCCCCGTCTGGCAGGGGGGAATCAATTCTCAGAGAAAAGCTTTCACAAAAAAACTTACTGAAGATTCACACACCAAAAACAAACAAACAAACAAATAAATAGGTAGATAGATAGATAGATAGATAGATATGGGTATTAGTGACTTCACAGAAGCTGGACACCAGCAGGATCTGTGTCTGCACTGCGGGAGAGGCAGGTGGCACCACAGCCACCCGAGGTGCTCGCTGTCCTGGCAGTCCCGGCACCTGCCAGGAGAGGCAGTGAAGGCAACAGGGAGACCAGAAACCAGGTGGTGATTGGGCCTCACTGGTTGGACTGCTCCGAGGAGGATTTGCTATTTTAATTAATCCCAGTAACATACTAAACAAAAGAAATGTATTTACATAGCAACGGTGACAACCACAATGTGTGCTAGGGTCTAGTTAAACAAAGAAAATAGCAGCTATACATGCATAAAGGGAAGAAGATCTGTTATTCTGTTTACCTAAAACCTATATGATGTCTTTAACAAAACAACAACAACAAAAAAAGGCTGCTGCTATGTCATGTTCCAGATGTACAGAGAGGTTTCCACCACAGCCTTGAGGGGTGGAAGACCCCAAGCAGTGCCCTGCCTTGAGGCTAACTAGGACATCCTACAACAACCATTTAGTGCTGTCACATTGTATCTCTGCTTTTGATTGACTCAAGACTAACATAGTCGCTCTGTGGCTGTTTCAGTTATTGTCAGTCTGTCAACTAGTCTTCAGTTCAATGTTTCCCAAATTGTGCTTCATGTACCTGGGTGCACAACAGTTGCATGCAGGATGCCAGTGCACCACCACAGAGCACACTGCTAGTTTCTCTGCACTCCCAGGGAAACAAAGATTAACTGGGATTTTCAAAACAACAGCTCTATCAAATGGACCTCATAGTCTCTTCTTCTGATTTTCCATCACTTGTCATGAAGAACAACATTGTGTGTATGATACTTAGCACCAAGTTACTATGTTGGTGGAAGTAAAGGATTCCTCTGCCATGTGAATGATTCCAACTTTCTCCCACTCCGATGAGTAAGAATTTGAAAACAGAAATTTCTCTGTCATGAGCACTCTGGGTATGTAGGCTGTCTGCATTCCTGGCAGATTTATGCCTTGGCAGGTCTATTCCAACAGTCTATAAGGTCACACTTACATTCAGATGTAGGTATGTGTGGCATGCATCCATCTCGAGAAACACTGCTGTAAATTACTTCACTAGTTTAGCTGTATAATGCATCCTGTCACAGCACAAGTGGCTGTGGAGCTACAGAATGACAGCACTCCTTAAGGAGATGAGAGTTCATGAGACCAGAGCACGGCTATTCTTCTTTACCTTTTTATACTAGTTTTTCTCTTGGCATCTTTCCTCAGCCTCTAGGCTTCTTCATTTAATAGACTCTTCCAGCATGGGCTATTGTTAGCAACATATTCCCAGCTTGCAATATCAATGGTATGGATATTCACCACACCACCATGCCTACCGTACATTACCTCAGATTTGCAATTCCTCAACAGTACAGTCAAAAGTATGCTGGGTCAATGCATATTTTGGTTTATCATAGATATTCAGTTATTTCAGTTATTATTATTGTTGTTGTTATTATCATTATTCAGTTATTATTGTTTCAGTTATTCAGAATATTGTAGCTGTCTTCCCAAAACACTGATCCAGAGAGGAGAATTTACTCTTGAACTTCCAGGGGCAGCCAACACATGTCAGACTTGATTGTTGCCCTTTTGTTCTAAACAATCATAAACTAACAGAAAAATAATGTCAACATCCTGAAATTTATCTTCAGAATGTGTGATAAAAACTGTATCAGCACCAAAAAGCAGCTGACCTCCAAGCAGGTGCTCAGCTGTTGCTATTCTACATCAAATGTGGAATGACTTCCATGTGGCCTCTTGAGGATGTGGCCATTATCATGCTGAAAGAAAAATTGTCACTGGGAAGCAGAGAAAATTATATGCCACGGTTTGCTGGTACCATTACCTGTTCCAGTGCAACCTCACTGCAAGCTATTCCACAAGCCATCCTGCTTGTGGAAATCAAATGAGATTTAAAAATATATTGCAGACAATCAGTTCACTTTTCCAGTGAATTGAAAAAGGCTATTTCTGCAGACCAACCTGAAAAAAAAGTGTGTTACCTATGAAAATAATGAGAAGAGCTTCCTCTCCACTCACACATTTTTCCTGCAGTCACTCAACAGCAAAGTCTCTGCATTTCTATGTCATCTACTGGCACAGCAGTCTTTTCTGGCAAAGATAGCTTCCCTGCCTTCACTGAAGTTCCCCCTGCATTCCTGGTGCAGAGAAACATTCTGCTGAGATGAAATCACTCACAGGATGTCACCAGGGCACTCCTTTCTTCATCTCCAGGTGTTAATTTAACTAGATGGTACGCAGGGACCAAATCAAAAGAACTAAAACACTTTGCTGCTGACATTGTATCTAGAGCTGGTGGTGTGTGAAGAGGTGCCTATCTTGAGCTGTCTGAGAGTCAGGTCTCTTTAGAGAAGGTGCATCCTCAAGTGTTTTACACTTGTAATGGGGTTGCTTAAGGCTGTGAACACGACTCAGCCCAACCCTTCCCCAGTCTTCTGGACCCTACGTGTGGGTCCATCCCACCAACGTAGTGGGATGAGCTGGAGGACCCCACCATGACACACTGCCTGGGCTTAGCGCCATCGACTGCTCCATTTGGCCATGTCTCTGAAGCTCCACACCAGAAAAGCAGCCACTCTCATTGTTTCCTTCCTTTTCCTCCTCCAGGCATTAGGGCTACAGCATCTCCATCAGTGGCTGCAGGGCTGCATGGGGCCCAAGGGATGCTGAGGACCACAGCTGCCACCACTGTTTCATCACAGTGTCTCAGAATCACAGAATGGTAGGTACTG